GTGTGTGTGTGTGTGTGTGTGTGTGTGTGTGTGTGTGTATGTGTGTGTGAATGAAACCTGCATTTGTGAGAACATGACCTCACTTTGCACACTTCATGTAAAGTCAGGCCCAACACCCGTGTGTGAGTGCAGTTTGGGGACCCTCTGTGGACAGACTTCATGTCATGAGCAGCAGCTGCTCTGTAAATCAGTACAACAACCAATAATTATTAACTGCATTTATAGGTAATAATACTTTGTCCAAATATATGATTTTGCTTTATTCTTTTGGCATAGATTTTATTGATTTTGTGCAACACATCACAAAAAACAGAACTAATCAATTTATTTATTTATCTTTTACCAAACTGAATATAAAAATACTTTTTAAATCAATGACAACTTTTAGTTTCATAAATTAATGCTAAAAAGTAAAAATAAAACAAACAATAAATTACAAGGTAAAAACACAATAATGCTTGTTCCTTTACATAACTAAGTGTTTCCTGTACGTCATTGGGCAAGACCCTCTTAAAAAGTCCTGATCTAAAATAAAGGGTTTGAAGATGGTGTTAAAGAAAACAAACATTACTCACAGTCTTGAGTACTGACCATTGTTAACAAAATATTTCATGAAATATAATGAAACTTACTGAAAGTAATCACTGGTTGGGTGAAACGGATCTACTGAGTCTCAGTTGCTTTTTTGTACATTTGTTGTGACTCGGGGCTAAATAAACAAACTAAATTGAATTAATCTCAAGACGTGCTCTACTTTAACCAACACAAAAATGCCTTTAACTCAGTCAGTTTTAGAGATTTTAAGCTAAATTTTGGTGTGGAAGCTGCTTAAAATCCTTCGCAGTACTTACTCTGTATGTTATTACATCTCATGGGGATCGCCTGTGAAACAAATGGCCCGAGGAGCTCAGATCTGACCACATTTAAATCTAAATTATATACTTGCTGTGTGCATGTGTCCTTTTGCTCGTTATTATTTTTTCTTTTGTAAAGCACCTTGAGTTGTCCCCCCGCTATAAAATGTGCTATATAAATACATTTGCCTTGCCTTGCACATAAGACAGAGGGTGATGGGCATTCTTTCAGTTAATGCAAGGCTTTTTTATGTTTTATATTTCCATTTAAGATTTAGGATTATTTAATTAATCAAGTGATTATTGTGGCTGATTGTTACTGAGAATGGTCACGAGTGTCAGCCCTTTCTCTTACTGATTTGTAGTCGCAGACGCTACTTTTAAGTCTTTCAGAGCGTGAATTATAGTGATTAATATTCCCATTTAAATAGAAAGCAGGGATGCTGTGTCGTGGCGGCTTTGCATGGAGTCCTACCCTCCATTTTTTTCCTCCTCTCAGCCAAATATATTTGCTTCTAACACAACAGACGTTTGGCGTTTTGGCTGTTCTCAAAATACCAAATTGTTGTCCTCACCAATGGGGGACGGCACGGTGGTACATTCATGTTTGTAACAGTCGTTCTTTTTATCTATTTTTTTCTAATTATACATAACTTTTGAGAAGTAAAATCTGTCTGAAAGAAGATTGTAGCAGTTCTCCCTTACAAAAACAAGTATTCACTTCTTTAAAAGGGTTATTTAAAGGTAATGCTGAAATAAAATGAGTTTTCAGTTTAACGCAATACATACATGGGTTTTGAAGGTGTAATAGTGTAAGCGAAACCAAGGCTGACAGCACCCAGTTGCTTTAAAACATTTCAGACATGATGCACTTCCTCATAATTCAGTTTGTGGTGAATGATGGATTATGATGCTGTAAATCCCTGTTGCACTTTAGCAGGGCATTTAGTGTTTTCAGCAGGCTCCTGTCTTTAGCCAGCTGTGTTTTTTTTTCTCTGACTGACTAGCAACAAACCCCCCCCAACCCAAAAAAAAAAAAAAAAATTAAAAATTGTCGGTCTGTGTCAGTTTCGCTGTCATTTTCTGACTTCACCTCCAGTTTGCCACACGTTGGTGCACTGAGCTGCGTCCACCGGCATGAATCCACATTAAAAGTGAACGGCGTGTTTTCAGCCTCCTAAAAACCACGCCGTTGTCACAATATTGAGACCGGCGCCGCGCAGTGCAGGAGTCATGAGCGTGAGTGCAGCGAGAGTTTCTCTGAGTCTTCTTAAGGTCACAGGGTTAAGTTTCGCCAGCGTTTAGGTGGAGGTGCTGAAACGATGGAGAGGTGAGGAGTCAGTCATATAGATTTAAACGTAATGGGAGGTCAAAAAGCGTGCCACGGAGTCTACCATGAGGAGAAGCAATGAGAGCTCGTGATGGAGAGAGAGAAAAAAAAAGTTGGGTGATTTTTTTTTTCTTTTTTCTTTGAGCAGGTGAAAGAAGGAGATGCAGAGACAGTGAGACAGCTAATGAGTTCTGGAGACTTGGCATTCTGCTCATGCTGTATCTCTCTCCTGTGTGGAAGAGCTGGCTGGAGCGAGTTTCCTGTCTGAGCCCTGAAGCAGGAGTAAATGAGGAGTGGGGG